CCCCCTGAACCCTAAACCCCCAAGCCCTCAGCCCTAAGCCCTAAACCCCCAAGCCCTAAGCCCTAAACCCTAAACCCCTAAACCCTAAGCCCCCAAGCCTTAAACCCTAAACCCTAAGCCCTAAACCCCAAGCCCTAAACCCAAAACCAAGGAAGAACTACATCAGCGGCTCCAAGGACTTCTTGGCGGCTCCCTCTTTGAGGGCTTTAGGGCTTTAGGGTTTTGGGGTTTTAGGGTTTTAGGCCTTTGGGGTTTTAGGGAAAAGGGGTTTTAAGGCTTTGGGGCTTTAGGGTTTAGGGCTTTAGGGTTTTAGGGAAAATGGGTTTTAGTGTTTTAGGGTTTAGGGTTTAGGGGATAGCTCCCTTCAGAATTAATAGGTATATACTATAGAACACCCCAAAACCCTGTGCCACTTTCTCTAAGCTTTTACCAAGGCTGAAGAGTTTGCGACACCCCGGTGCCGGATTTTTTGCCCAAAGCTGGGCTTCGGGGGGTGACTTGCAATACAAAATGAGGAGCTCCTCCAGTTCTTCTGAGATGGCAGTTCCCGGAAAAGTGAGGCTTCAAGCGGCGGGAAACACGCAAGCTTTGGGAAATTGATCCTAGGGTTCTTGAGTTTGTATTGGGCTGCCCCTTGTATTCTCCACCTACCCAAGCACCATGCAGTGACCTTCAAAGACTTCGAGACAGGCCATCAACACTAAGGCCTCGCATCCGAATCCCAAGCCCGGAGCCCGAGTAGCTCCTACGCCCTCAAGCCGCCTCCCAAAAGCCTACGACCAGCACCCTAAACCCTAAACCCTAGACCTAAACCTAAACCCTAAACCTGCATCTCGAACCCTAACTCTTACGGATCGCACTCTCGAGCTACAGAGGTCGTAGCAGCCACTCAGCACAGCATTCAACAAGCTCTGGAGCTACGGGTTCGATACGTCTCGTTCTATGCCATGGTTTAGAGCTTAGACTTAGGGCTTAGAGATATTGCAAGGCAAACAGGAGTCTGAGAACTTTCGGGGGATGCCCGAAGTTCCCGAACCCCGAACTCCCGAACCCTAAGCCCGAAAAGCCCAAAAACCATAAACCCCTGACGTCCGAATACTCGGAACCCCGTACTATGAATTCCAAAACGGGAATCCACGGCAGTTCGGGCTTGCAGCTCACAAGTTCGCGTCGATAATGGATTGCGGCCTTGGGGGTTTTAGGATTTAGGGTTTAGGGTTTAGGATTAAGGTTTGGGGGTTTAGGGTTTAGGGCTTTGGGGGTTCAGGAACTCGAGAAGGGTGAGGGTTTAGCACAGGGTTCGAGGAGAAAGAATCCTGGATGTCGGGCTGGCGCGGCAAACGCAAAGTTTTCTGCCACTTAGGTAGTTTTCTCGGCAACGGCTATCGAACCCGACCCGGTCGGAGCAGCATCGAAGGATCTTTCTTCGCGTTCACTCGGGTTCGAAATGCCTTTCGCAGCAAAGTAGTGAGCTGCCCATCCTGTTCCGCCTCCGGGTGTACAGCGCATACAGACACAATGCCACCTTGCGCCCTAAGCTCACAGGAGTACTTCTCCCTGCGCTAATAGCAAAGGCAGCCGCATCAAAGCAGCCGAACACCAACGAAAGTTTTCGACCAAGTCGCCTTTGGCTCGAGGCAAAAAGACTTTCAGGGAGTCACGGTGTTGAGCTCATACGGTTAAGGCTTGGGCCTGAGTGTTGGGGTCTAGAGCTCAGGGCTCTGAGGTTTTAGCGCGGCTATATAGGAGCATCAATAAGCACCTAGAGTATTTTTCTCTACAGGGTCTCTTGTTATACTTCTGGTATTCAGGAATCCAACACCCCATTCTAAATATTAAACCCCCTATATCAGACACATTCTTCTTTATCAGGACTTTCAGGGTGCTGAATTTGCAGCATCATCGATAGGCCATGAGGGAATGTCGGGAATTTGATGTCGAATCTTCTAGCGGAAAATGACTGATTTAATTGAAATATTATATAGGCAGAATTCGATTAAAATAATTATTAAATTTAAGATCTTATTATTATGCTTTGGGCATTCCAAAGGTAGGTGGGATTTTTGAAAAAGTTATAAGAGAAAACGATATGCTTAGACAGATACATAATGGTATAAATACATATTGAGTTATTATATTTCTTTTAAAATATGGATGAAAGAACGAAATTTTATTTTGGAGAAATCTGATAGATATAAATAGAATTCGATTTTTTTTGATATTAGATTTTCTTGTATTTTCTGAATATATTTCATTTTCTTGTTGTTTATATTTATTTTTTATTTTACGAAAGAAAAAGTATAGAATTACATACTATTTCGTATCTAATATATTTTTATAATTAAGATTATATAATTATTAATTAAGATAGTATTTGTTGAATGATCGTATATTATTATTATTCTAATATTATTATTATGAGTGATATTATTATTGATCTATTGAATTTTATTTATGAACAATTGATATTTTGAAACGAATATTTAATTGAAATAAGATTAGTTCTTATATATGATAGATTTAATTCATCGGAAAAAATATATTAGCCCTATATATATAAGAAAGATTTATGCTAATATTTTTATTTTGAATATATTAATTGAATTCTATATTGATAATCTATAAATATCACATTATGATCTTAGATTCTCTATTAATTCTTATCTATATGCCGCCAGCACAAATAAGTTATTAAATATGATTTCTATTTCGACGATTAAATATTCAAATTATATCTATTATTTAGAATCGAAGATTCTAAATTTAATAATGATTTCATGAAATATTAATGAGCGTCTTGAATATTTTAATTCTGAAATTCATATTGAACTCAAATATATTATATAAATGACAATTCTTAATTAATAGAAAGTTCGGATAGGTCAGATGAAATCCTAAATATATTTATCTGATCTTGCTTTTGATAGAGAAGACGTGCCAATACGAGATCTGAAATCAAGAACGTATAAATAAATATATAATATTTCAATTATGAGATTCAGCTTAAAGGAAAATCTTATTAATAAGAATTCTATGAAAATAGAAATTTTCATATAAACAAATGAAATTCAATTAGAATTGCTGAGATATCGAAGATTTCTATTCGTCATTATTTTTGTTTGAATCTTTTTTCTTATTGCTCATTATTTGTATTTCTCGCCTGAATATCCATAAAATATCAATCAATTAGATTGCAGGTGCATGTATTAGATCTTATTTTCAGATTCTCCCCCCAATTCGTCTCTATATATCGTCATATATAAATAGAAAAAAACACCCTCCAAGTTTACAATGGTTGCAAATTATGATTTTCAATATATTAATTATTATGAGAATTGGCGATATCGATAATTGCCGTAGTATTGAAATTCAATATGAGTAGTTTTATCTAATTTTGGAATCGGCGGATCCATTGAAATATTATATAAATATATGATCAAGATAGTAAGATTTAATGGTCGGATATGAATATCAAAATATATGGTAGAAAAAAAATTCTAAAAATATATTTTGTTTATCAAGAAAGAAATATTTTAATATAATTCAAATAAATATATTATATATTCTGAATCTTTATCTTATTATAAGAATCATTATTCTTTTATTCGAAATTATTTATGAATCTTAATTTCAATTAAAATAGATTTTTTGATTATTCTTGACTATTCCAGAAAGAAAAATCTAGAAAATATGTCCAAACATCCGCATATGCCCCTGTTCTTCCATAATTTGAATTTCTGAGATATTTCGTATTGATAATCTCTTATATAGCGGTCTCCCACGGCTAGAATCTTGCAAATCTTAATTATACGGTCTAATTTTCAGGAATTAAAATTCAAATAATTTTCTTGGTTTGAAGAAATCTCTCGTGATTTCAATTCTATATTTTCTGAATTCATCCATTTTATATGTCTATTCATATATATTTTAATTTCAAGATCGAAAAAATGAAGTCATATATATATATATTAACTAAATCGAAAGATATTCTATTTCGTATTAATATATCATTTCATTGCCTTGCGATTTTTTTTTTATCTCTATCTTCTATTCGTCTTTCTAAATTCCCTTCGAATCGGCGAGTAGAGACAAATAATAGTGAATACGAAGGGATCTCGGAGAATCCGATTCTTATAATTTCTATAATGATAGCGGGGGGGATATTTTACAAATAAAAAAATGTATTTAGATACACAAAACGACCATATCTATCTATATAAAAATAGCCGACCTTTAAATTAAGATATAAGATTATCTAATCCTTAAATTAAAGAATTTTCTTTCGGATTATAATTTCATAGATAAAAACATAGTATTTATAATAAAAATATCATCGTAACTATTTATGTCGAGATATAATAATCAAAAAATATATAATATTTATATTACGAAATATTTATATAAGATATATTCAAAAAGAAACAATTCATATAATAAAATTATCGAATATAAATTCCCAATCGTAAATAATATAACACCACTTTATAATAGAATTTTACTTATTAGATTTGTATGAAATTTACAATTTTAAAGATCTTATTATCTAAATCAATTATTCGGGCTCATATATTTAATAATAATTTTTCTTTCATAAATTTAATCGTGTATATTTATCGAGATCAAATAAACAAAATCAATCAATCCATATAATTATCGATATATAATGAATCTCTATAGATTCAAAAATATCATCAAATCAAAGAAATATTCTAATAGAATATGTCCCGAAAATCCAACAGAATATTCCCGCCTTCCTTTCTTTCTACGAAATCTTCAGTCGGCCTATGTAGGAGGCGGCCACTCATAGGCCATTGCCCGAAAAATACGAATACAGGGCACTTGTAAGAGACCATGGGGGGTATGTTAAGATAAGATTAGAGATTTTTGAAATTGCTCCGGCCACTATATTGTGGTATAAAGGCCTCCCCACGCCTCTGTTTTGCAGATGCAGCTTCCCGAAACAGAACACCCCTCTCTGATTTCAGGCCCCAGCTCCTGCTTCAAAGCTCGGTTTTTGGGTTCTTGTTTGGGGTCGCAAGGTTTGCAGAGATCAGTGTCCTTGCCATGTCAAGCATCGTGTCTTCTAGCGGGTACAAGCCCCCAATCAATCCTTTGATCTTCGTGTCGATCATGGCATTCTGAGCTTCCTCCTTTTCCGGATTCGCGAAGACGAACTGAGGCAGTCCTTTGGATAGGACGCTGTAGACGGAGTGCGGAATTGTGTTGGGCTGCGCAACGATGTAGCGCCCCGAAGCTGCTGGATTGACTGCTGCCTGGATGTGTGCCCTGGCAACATCTCGATTGTCACACCAAGGGAAGGCAGCAGGCAATGGTCCTCCCTCGACGAGTGTCTTCATCGTGCTGACCGACACGCCCTCGACCCGGGGAGCATGCACAGGGCCCATGACAAGCACCGGCTGAATGACAACCACGTCAATCCCATGGCTCTTTCCAAGCTCCCATGCCTTGCGCTCTGGACTTGCTCGCAATGTAAGCCTGCTGCTTGTTCTCTTTACAGACCGACTCATCGATGAAGTCGTTCCAGTCCTCCTCGGAATAAAGATTACCTGGGTCTGGCTTGTCCTCTGGTAGGAAGGAAGAGGATGCAGCGAACGAGCTGGTCACGACAACGCGCTGTGATTTGGCCTTGATGGCCGGCTTCAGGACATTCTCAGTGCCGTTGCGTGCGGGTTCGATCATGTCCTTCAAGGAGTTTTCGGCGGCTGTGTGAAAAACGTATTTGGAGTTTTTGGCACAAGCATCGAAGGAGTTTGGCTTCAGGAGATCGGCTTCGAGTAGCTTGAGAGTGCCGGGCAAAGCGGCATCTAATTTCTCCAAGTGTGCATACTTGTCTTTCGATTTCACTGACCTCACCGTTCCCTTGACGTGAAAGCCGTTCTCCAGAAGATGCTTCACCAGCTCTGTTGCCACGTAGTGAAGATTCTGACGAAGCTCCATCGGA